CGGCTCTCTCCCCACCCCCACCCACCCAGCTCCGAACCTCTCTCTCTCTCTCTCTCTCTCTCTCTCTCTCTCACCACCACCACCCTCCCTCCGGCTCCAAACCGAGGGCCGATTGGCGAGCCGATCGGCCCTCGCCGCTCTGGCCCCCCTCCCTGCTTGCTGCTCGCCGCTTCCCTCCCAAGCGGCGGGGGCAGTTACAGAGCGTCTCTTGTGCATGCGCAGGAGACTCTCTTGCACTTTTGGGGGGATTTAAACATCCCCCCGAATTTTTTTCAACTTTTTTTATTTTTGTGCACACGTGGGGACTGGCCCACGTGTGCACAAACCTCCCCCAGCCCCCCAGCTGCCCCCGGAGCACTGATTTAGCGATCCGCACTCCGGGGGCAAGTTCGCTATTAGATATATACATGATATTCCCATGGAAGCAGTTATAAGAGCACAGTACAGAGATAAATAGTCTTACGTTTTTCTCCTTAAGAATTGCTTATTATTATTCAGTTCAGGCCTCAAAACAATGATATAACACTTGGGGGGGGGGAATGTAGCCCAGCAAACCAACACTGGAAGACAAGATGGAGAAGACCTCCACGGCAACCATGTATTTCCCTTTAGTGCTCAAATAGGTTGGAACAAAGGACAGCCAAACACTGTAGAAGACTAACATACTAAAAGAGATAAATTTGGCTTCCTTAAAACTGTCAGGTAACTCTCTGTGTTAAGTAGTATTTCCTTTTGTCTGTCCAAAACCTATTGCCAATAAGCTTCATTGGATGCCCTCACGTTCTAGTCTTTTGGCAAAGGGATAAAAATTCCTCTATGCTAACTCTCTCTACCCCAGGCATAATTTTATAAACCTCCATCATGTCCCCCCTTAGTCATCTCTTTGATAAACATCTACTTTGCCGCCTTTTGCTAAACATCTACTGAAAGTACCTTTTAAAAGTGCAGGTATATAATGTCTACTGAGTAATCATTGTCTAAATGCTTGTTCACTTTTTCAAAGATATCCAAAAGGTTGGTGAGGCTGGACTTCCCTTTGCAAATTCTTAATTGTTATTATTATTAATAGTAATAATTATTGGTACAGCAGGATCAAAAATGTGGACGAGCTCCAAACGATAATGGGATTCCTAAAATAAATACTAGAAATTAAAATATTATATTCCTATGGATGCAGCTATAAGAGCAGACTACAGAGATACATGGTTTTATGTTTTTCTCCTTAAGAATTGCTTCTTATTATTCAGGTCAGGCCTCAAAAGAATGATATAACATTTGGGGGAAAATATGCAGCCCAGCAATCCGGCACTGGAAGACAAGATGGAGAAGACCTCTACGGCAACCATGTATTTCCCTTTAGTGCTCAAATAGGTTGGAACAAAGGACAGCCAAACACTGCAGAAGACTAACATACTAAAAGTGATAAATTTGGCTTCATTAAAACTGTCAGGTAACTTCCTAGCGAAGAAAGCCACAATGAAGCTGGCAATTGCTAAACAGCCCAGATAGCCCAGGACACAATAAAACATGGCATTTGAGCCCTCATTGCATTCCAGTACAATTTCCCCATCCACTGAATGCATGTCTGAATCTGGGAATGGAGGGTGGGTACTTAGCCAAAGAGTACAAAGTCCTGCTTGAATCACAGAGCTGGAAAAAAGAATAGAATTTGCCAGTCTCTTCCCCACCCATTTCCTCATTGCAGATCCTGGCTTATTAGCTATGAATGCCAGAACCACGTTGATGGTTTTGGCCAACACACTGGAGAGGGCCACGGAGAAGACGATGCCAAAAGCAGTTTGCCGAAGGAGGCAGGTCACTTTTACAGGCTGTCCAATGAAGAGCAAGGAGCAAAGGAAGCAAAGAAAGAGAGAGGCCAGGAGAACGTAGGAGAGATTCCGGTTGTTGGCTTTGACGATGGGAGTGCTGTGATGTTGCATAAAGATGACAAGCTCCAAAGCTGTCAGCACAGAGCAAGAAATAGCCATTGTTGCTAAGATGATCCCTAAGGGTTCTTTGTAGGAAAGGTAGGTACTCATCTTGGGAATGCATTGATTTTTGTCCATATTGGAATGGTGATCTTCTGAACATTTGACACAGGCATCCATGTCTGAAAAGAAAGAGAAGTTGAAAGATTGTTGTGCTTTAAGCCATGCCTTGGGAAATGGTGTCACACCATTTGGACCAACCAACGAGAAGGCATCTTTTTATGTTTTTGCTTTGCAAATTAATTTTTTTGGATGATATTGTGCTGTTGCAGATTAGTGTAGGCTATGAGTCAGCAATCACCTTGCAAGCAAATGTCTCAAGGCTTAACACCCCAACAGTAAAAATGGGAACAGTTCTAACAGTGTGAAATAATGCCATTTAGAGGGCCCATTTTAAAATGAAGCTGTTTTATCTGTTCCCATTAATGATAGTGTGAACCATCTTTATACGGAACAAACCAAAGCATTCAGGATTTTAGAGTTGCTATGCTTGAATCATATGATGCAGTATGGGGGGGGGAGTTATGCTAGGGACAATGGGATCTGTATGTAGAAAAGCCAAATGGGATGGGATTGGGCTACAGGATGGGCAGGATGGAGTGAAAAATTTGAATGGATATGACCTTGCGTCTGGAAACCTGTAACGTTTGTATGTTGCTAGTATTATATAGTAAATATTTTACATTGTTGCAATAGATGAGATGCAATTGTGAATTATGAATCAGGTGTGGAAGGGGGTTAATGAATACAATATTATCTTTTTTTAAAATCCAAATCTTGTCTCTCTATGAGTGCCATCCTTAGTGGAGTTGTTGAGGGTGGACTTAGAAGAGTGTGAGCTGGAGCCCCTGAACAATTTCCTTGCATGCTAGATCACCTCCACTGGGGAGAGCACATTCTCTTCCACTAGCTTTCTCTTAAAGCAATGGCTTTCAATGAGCCCTTGTGCAAACAGAAGCAGCATGCTGCATGGCAGAAGCTATGTAGCATGCATAAAACGTGTTCATAGCCTCTATGTCTTCTGATGATGATACTGTCAGTAGGTTCACCGGGATCAAAATCTGATGTAACAAGAAAACATTCAAGATATAATATCCATGAAGAAGGCAGGGTTTGAGATTGAGCTAGATCCTGAACTAGGGTTGCCAAATCCATCTTCCACCCCCAGTGGGGGACTTTGGGGGCATTAAAAAAAAGTAGCTGGCAGCCGGCGTTTCCCCTTTAAGAGCAGCTGCGTTTCCCTTTTAAGAACGAAGCTGGCATTTCCCTGCAAGCTTGCGGAGTTCGCGCTTGGGAGGAAACACACTTAAAGGAAGAGAGATGGGTGGCTGTGGGTGTTGGGGGTGGGGCTTCCTCCGCCGGCCATCTGGCCGGCGGCGGGTAGAACCCCCCAAAAAACGGGGGACCCCTGGCAAACCATGGGGTTTGGCAACCCTATCCTGAACATATGTTCTCCATCTGATTACTTCATTAATGACAGCAGGAAATGGAAGGGAGAAGAAGGAAAAGAGGAGGAGGAAGAGGTTGGATTTATACCCCTCCCTTCACTCGGAGTCTCAGAGTGGCTTACAACCCCCTTTTCCTTCCCCTCCCCACAACAGACACCTTGTGAGGCAGGTGGGGCTGACAGACCTATGGCTTGCCCAAGGTCATCCAGCAGTTGCAAGTGGAGGAGTGAGGAATCAAACCCAGTTCTCCCAGATTAGAGTCCGCATACTTAACCACTACACCAATTGGAAGTCATAAGTATGGTTTGCTTGGCTTTTTTTGTGTGTGCCACTTCTGGTATCTCAATGTCTTCCCTTTTGTTTGCTTTACAGATAATAAAATTAACAGAGTTGATGCATTGGGGGACTCTCTTTGCCACAAGCTGACCTCTCCGAATTCATGATGATTTCATGATAAATACCTTGGCAATCTTGATAACCAAGGAGTAACAGATGTTCAAGATTCTGGTTGCATGAATTTTCTGGTTGCATATTGTCTTGACTATACTCTTATAAGAAATTGCTAATATCTCTGTCTATGTTGTTTCCTACCTTCCTGGTCAGAGATCATCTTATCTGGACACTGAGCACAATCATAGCAGCAGAATTTCTCTCCCTCCTTCTTTTTCCTGCTGTAGCCAGGATGGCAGTGGTCATTGCACACAGAAATAGGCAACATCTGTATATAACCAAAAAGGTAGATTACCATTGAGAAAATGTATGTCCACAGTGAACAGTGTTCTTTGAAATGGAGTACATGGATTACAGTTTCATCATTTTATTGATCAAGAATTTCCTTGGGGGAAAGGTTATGCATTTGCCGACAAATGTGTTTCTTTATTAAAATATTTATACATTGTATTTTCTTTTTGGCTCAAAGATGGCTTAAATTTTTGAATTGACCCCCTCTATAGTGGGGTGTCGAACTCATTTGTTATGAGGGCTGGATCTGACATAAATGAGACTTTGTTGGGCCGGGCCATGTGTGTCATAAAATGTTATCCCAGGTAGTGGAGATATAAACTTTATAAAGGATACAAACACAAAGGGGTTTTTTTTACTTAAAATAAAACATACTAAAAAAAACATTAGCACTCTTGCAATATTTTGTTTATTTAACAGTGTCTGATAACTGACACCTCTTGCTTTGAATTATTGCATGAAAAAGTCTGTGCTGTTGCAATCTTGAGTATGATGTTCAGGTGTGTATCTGTAAGCTGCAAACCTACCATGATGCAGCAGCAGCAGAACTGGAAGAAGCAGAAGACAGCCAGTTCCACTGCCGGCCTGATAGAAGCCCTCCAGGGGCCTGATCCGCCCCCCAGGCTGCATGTTTGACACCCCTGCTCTATATGGTTAGATGCAACCTAATTTTCTGATGATGAAGAAAGAAGAAGAGATCTACTAGATCACCAGGAAACACTATTCTGGAGACTTGATTAGACAAAATACACATGGGATAGGGGCTGTAATCAGGACGATAATTGGGCAAGCTTGAGTGGGAAAGCTGGCTGGTGTCATATCATTCCAATTTCTCCCCCTCAAGAATACCCCTGATGCTCAGACTCCATCAAATGTCCTAACAAAGTAATCTTACAGCACCTTCTGAAAACATTTAAGGAAAGTTCCCTCCTAAGGGATCCTGTTTCATGAAGTGAGAGCTAATATTGGGATGAACTCTGGTTGATATTGTGTGGGGAGCCTTAAGCAGGTGGACATCCACACAGTGAGCTGTAATTGGTGTAGGGAGACCTATGGGGAGAGGCTGTCCATCAAAGATGTGAGTCTTAGTCAATGCAGGATTTTCCACATCATAACTAGAAGCTTAAATTGAACTCGGAAACACCGTGGCAGCCAATGTAGCTGTAAAGGCCATTTGGTCCAGCCTTCATTCATACATCATGATTACATAGAGCATCTACAGGTTAACATCGTGCAATTAAATGTTATCATGTCTTATGCCTCTCCCAAGGCCATGGGACCAAGCGCTAGCGAATATTCCCTAGGCCTTGTGGGGGATGTTGCTTGAGTAAAGGGTTGCAAGCGCAGGCTAATCTATAAATTCACACAGACGTGTCCTGGCCCTCCCCTCAAGAACGTCAAGAGAGGACCCGCAGACACTTACACTTACATCCTGCCGGTGCTAATGAGGAAAGGGTTTTTTTTACAAGAGCAGAAAGCTGAGAAGTAGGGACAGAGCTATGTATATCAGTAGACCATTGTTATACAGTACAGTGACCCCATAATCCAGGCAAGGGTCCAATTCTGACAGCCAGTGGCAATTTCTGGGCTATCTTTAAGGGTGGTCCCATATGAAATACATTATGATAGTCTAACTCCCAGGTTACAAAAGCATGGACCGATTGGGGCAAAAAGGAGTGCCTCAATTCTCCGGCATTACGCCATCGAAGAGGTCGCCCCCCCAGTGCCCCCGGCTTTGAGCCTTTCACTAAGGCTCACCTGGGGGTGCCACTTGAGGCAGCACCCCTCCTTTTCCCACTGGAGTGTGGATCTTCTCCCCAGGGGTAGGGGAGAGCATCCGCCATCACCGAGCCACAGACCGGAAGTTCTCAGATGGATCTACTTTTGAAATATTCTACAAATATTCTAATGTAAAATATGTAATATTTAAGAAGAATTAAAAGAGGAGAAACACTCTAAAATGGTTAAAAAAGGATTAGAAAGACTTAAATGGTCATTTGTGGAATGACTGTTAGGAAGAAAATTGCTTAGAGGTGAAATCCAATGGGCCAACATCTCCTTTTGTCTCCAGCAGTGGGAATGAATGGGTGAAACTCTTGACTTCTCCTGGATCCTCATAAAGATGGAAAATATTCAGTAACTGAAAGGCAAACAGAACTCCAAAACACCTGAAACATCTGATCTGGAACTTTCCACAATTGTCTTAGAGACCCTGGTACCTGTATCCATGACTCACCTGGTGAAAGTATCTATGCCACACTATCTTGGCATCATTAAGGGTTAACTTTCCCCCCAAAGAAGCCTGAGTTTCCATGTTTCCTACTTTTACTCTCACAAAAGAGCTATTTGGGAAGGTTATCCAGTTTGTGACATCAAAACCTGCAATCAATTCCCCCTTTTCATCAAAATGCACAGTATCCCCTGCACTGTTATTGAAGACGATCCTTTGTAGAAAGTGATGGAGCTGGATAGAAAGAGAAAATGAAACAAAGGGAAGTTAAGATGTTAATAGAATTAGTTTTATGAAGTCCTGCCTTACCTAGATCTGGATTATTCTTGATTTCCAATATAGTTAAAAATTCTAAAAATGAAGCCATGGTACCTTGTTGCAGAGTATACAACAAACAACCTTGTGGCACCTTAAAGATTAATGATGATATGGCAACATAAGATTTCAAGTGCCAGAGCCCATTTTATGAAAGTGCATGTAAATGCCACAGTACTTCCCCCCCCCCGTAGAATTCTGTGGTTTAACCATTTTAAGATCCTCATTGAAGAGTGGCAAAGTATGACTAAGAAATCTTTTTAAATATAGCCTATATTTGCCACTACATTACTAAATGAATTCATAAAACTGAGCCATCACAATGGAGATATTCTCTTTTAAATGGTTCATTACAAAACGTAACCATTGACATAGGGATGCTTCTTTCAGCAGCCTTTTTTATATGAAGGAGAAAAACTTCTCTATAGTAGATGGCCTTTTTGGCTAATGAGCATTAGAAACAGGGATTTCTTGTGGACTTGTTTTGTGCAGATTTAATAGGCTGAGTTTCAAATATGTCAGGCTGATAACCCAGTCTTCTGTCTCTTTGGAGCTTACTTGCCAGGGCTGAACATTCTGAAACTCCACATTCCTTCCATTCCATCTTCTGTGTTTCAGTCCAGATAAGTAAATGGCATGCAAAGCATGTGCCACAGCATAGACAGCATTGTAGATATTGTAGCTGTGACCAGTCATGCTCATTTCAAACAAAGTCCTGGGAAGGCTCTCCAGCTTCTCTTCCCCAGTGCAGGCTTTGATGTCTTCTTCCAGCACACTAGACATATTAAATGAGCAAACAAATGCTTGTTCCCAGAAGTTCTGGATAAAACCATCACCTTTGGCCCAGGAAGGATTTACGATCTGAAGGAAGTTTTGGAAACCTGGTAGGTGACTGGAGTGAACTGTGAAGGATATGGCACCATGGAAGTCCTGTATATCCCAACTTCTTTGAATGCTCAGTGATTCAAATTCCCACTGGGATGTAACAATCCACACTTTCCCAAGAGGGGGGAATGATGAGAGGTGTGCTAAAAAAAGCACCCATCTCAAAACTGAAAGCGACGAACGTTCTCCCAGTACAAAATACACGTTTGCTTTCTTTTCATTGAGAAGTGGATATGTTTCCAGCTGCTCTATGAACAAGCCTATCAACTTGTTCATATAAGTCTGTTTTGGCAATTTTTGTATGAAAGCAAAGCAGATGCCATTTTGAGAAAGCATTGGTATTATTGTCTGCAGGAAAAGGTCCCCACTGTCATCATCTGTTGCCAAGAGCCCAACCCATGTCCATCTGAAATGGTGAAGTAACTGGACAATCCCCTTGTACTGATAGACTTCATTTGGGACCATTTGGTACAAAGGCGGGAATACATTTTCACTGTACTGTGCTGCTGAAAATGATCCGTAAGTGAGCTGAAAGAGAATGTGTAGCACAGGTTCAGAAGCATCCCAAGAACTGTCCAATTGTGTGCCAGATTCTGAAATTTGTATACTCCCATATATGTGGCTTACCTGTGGAACCTGAATTTTATTGTTACGGCACCTAGCCAGCAATATAAAACCATAGAAATACAAATAAACTAGAATGGCCTAATAGTAAAATTTCCAAAGTGCAACTAGGTACTAAAAAATAACATTATACAATCATTTTGGTTGCTAAAACCAGACTTAAGATTACAATAAAACACGATAAAAGGAAAAGAACTAAGATGACTTGGAAACAGTAAAAGTTAAAATCAAACAGTCCTAACCCGAGTGACAACCAGGGCGCTGATGAGCTTTTATAACCAAGGAGCAAAATTTCGCAATCTGATGGAGCACTGTATGTTCAAGGTTAAAAAAACAAGTTTTCCATCTTATCCTGATCAGAAGTCTGTTTTGGCAATTTTTTAATGAAGGCAAAGCAGATGCCATTTTGATAAAGCATGGGTACTATTGTCTGCAGAAAAACATCCCCAATGTCATCATCTGCTGTCCAATTGTGTGCCAGATTCTGAAATTTGTGAACTCCCATGTATGTGGCTTACCTGTGGAACCTTGTAGATGGATAAAATGGTAGCGATATTGTCTGAGACCTCAGAGACAAGCCCTCCAATGACAGCTATCAGCATTTTCTGGGTGTGAGATCTGAAGTTGGGTAAAAATCTGTGCTGTGTGGAAAACAGGCTCAGGGTGGCCTTATATGTCATCCTGGAAACTAAGTAGTTGTTGAGGAGTTGGAAACCCAGAGTAGTGTTTGGTAAGAAGTTGGGATTCTCGTTGATTTCTTTGACAGCATATACCAAAGCTAAGACATTCTGGTAGTATTTTGGCACTGAACTGCAATGATAAAGTGTTTTTTTTTTTTAACAAACAGAAATGCAAGAAAAAACACACTTGTATCCTTGTTATTGCAAATATTAGGCAAGCCCTAAAATATCTCTTTCTTCTGCAGAAATCTTCATGCTGTGACAAACCTCCAGTGAGTTAAAAGGTATAAAAGATAGTGTGCTGGTTCTTTTCTTATGTAACAATACTGTACATTTACTATGGATTATAAGGAGAGAAGAAAGTAGTAATCTTTCTAGAGATTGCGAACAGCTCTTCTGGAAGTAAACCAGGAGAGAGTCATAATCTATCCATTTCCTTGATTCAAGAACTTCATGCTTGAAGCTCTTTTGGACAATTGCTATGTTCAACAAACTGCTGTATCTGTTTTTTTAGAAGTGTTTTGTTTTGCATAGTGTAATAATAGAAGCCTATATATATCACAGGGAAGGGGATACACGTTTCCCTGGTATTTAACCGCACCTCTGCAAATACAAGTAATGTGCATTGGTAGTCTCTTATTATACTATCTCTTATTGACCGCATTAGCACTTCATGTCTGATGAGAAACTCTGTAGGCAAAGACAGAATAGAATTAATGAAGTCTGCAACTACAAACTGATTGTTTCTCATATCTAAAATCAGATATGATGAGATACTATATTTAGAGAATGTATTGTAAATGGAAAGCAACAGGGAAACCTTTCTAATTTTGATGAGCTCACCAGTTTTTGAAAGCACAACCCAGAAATATCAGAAGGTAGATTCACGCTTTAAGGTTTTATGGTGTTTATTTAAGTGGCTTTAAATATTTACTTCTAAAAATAAACTGAATAGTTGACAAAGCACAGCCCTTCCTCCATTTTTCACCAACAGAAAAAGGAGTTGGATCCACCTAAAGGTAAAGGTAAAGGTTCCCTTGCTCGAAAGCCAGTCGAATCCGACTCTAGGGTTGCGGTGCTCATCTCCATTTCAAAGCCGAAGAGCCAGCGCTGTCCGAAGATGTTTCCATGGTCATGTGGCCGGCATGACTGAACACCAAGGCGCACGGAACGCTGTTACCTTCCCACCGAAGTGGTCCCTATTTTATCTACTTGCAATTTCTTGCTTTCGAACTGCTAGTTTGGCAGGAGCTGGAACTAGAGACGGAAGCTCACTCCGTCATGCGGCACCCGGGTCTTGAACTGCTGAACTACTGACCTTCCACAGCCTGCAGTTCAGCGTCTTAACCACTTGAGCCACCGCAGCTCCACCTACTGGTTTGTAAAAACATATGTTCACACACACACATCAGGGAATCTCCGTGACCTCTAGTTCATTCTGTTTCAAGAATAAATTGTTAAAAAGGCTTGAATTAAGCAAGGAAACTAGAAGATTCAATACATTATTATATTTAAGAAATGTAATTTCATATACAATTTTAAAAATAATATGAGATTAAGATCAATACAAAATTTAGTCTGAGTTTGTTTATTACTGCACATACTCATCTCACTGGTATATGAATGCAAGACAAGAATTACAGTGGTCTGCTGAAGGAAACTAATAACTGTTGCATGGCTTTCACAAAAAAGGTACTTTAAAAACTATGGGCATCCTTCATTGCATGATTCTTCTCCATAAGTCCCACAGATTCCTTTCAGTTCAATGGAACTTGTCCAGGAGAATTTCCCGATGCAAAACAAGCAAAACAATTTAAAAATGCAAGGCAAACCAAATGATACTCTATTATCTTGCAGGATATGTATGTGTGTGCCATCAGGTTGGAACTGACTTGTGGCAACCCCAGCAAGGGGCTTTCAAGGCAAGTTAGAAGCAGAGGTGTTTTGCCATTGCCTTCCACTTCAAAGTCTTCCTTGGTGGTCCCTCTTCCAAGTAATGACCAGTGTTCCCTCTAAGCTGAGTTAGTGTGAGCTAGCTCATAAAATGTTAGCCTCCAACTCACAGATTTTTTGTCTTAGCTCAGGGAGGATGACTCCAGAGCAAGCTAATTGATGCAGTAGCCAAATCATTCGCTCACAACTTTAATGCCAGCAGCTCACAAAGTAGACATTTTGCTCACAAGACTCCACAGCTTAGAGGGAACATTGGTCATGACCCTGCTTAGCTTCTGAGATCTGACAAAATCAGGCTACATTCCACATCCCCATCTTGTGGAATGCTTTCTTTTTAAGAAAAAAAAGGAGGTGGACATAGATTAATGTACTCTTCTTAGCTATACAATGTGAGCATGCTAGAGAAAGAAAATAAAAAGAAGCGTTTCTTACATGGGTTCACCAACCAACATCTTTTGGGGCTGTTCCTTGAAAGAGAAAGTCTCATGTATTAAGAAGACTTGGGAGAGTATCCCACCAATGATGAGGTCACCCGGTTGATCAAATTTGTGAAGAATCGGAAGGGGATCCTCGTGTACAATGCAAAGACTCAAAGTCGTCTTCTTAAATACAGTATGGCAGAAGAAGACAAACAGTAACAATGGCATCACCAACATCCAGGTGACAAACCTTCTTTCCAGATGCAGATTCTCATGTTTCCGTCTACAGCAGTATCCAGCTAGCATCAATTTTGTTACAAATTCCCTTCACTGGACTGTTTGTACAGTAATGCAAAGTTTGACAAACCAATCAGTATTTGCCCCAGTTACCTGCCTGTCTGTATCAGTGCATTTTGTCTGCTTTCTCACGTTCACGTCTCAGGATGCTCTAGGGACCTCTAAGAAAGATACAGAGTTTACTCTTTTGGTCTTTTGTGTGAAAACTGTAGAGGCCTAATAATTTCCTGTCAGACATTTTCTTTTATAATAAAAAAAGGGGGGGAACTCCAATGATTCCAAAGAATGCAGGATATTGTTTTAAAGAACATAAGAGTAGGTATGATTGTTAGATGCTACCTATTTTACCATTTTCCACATTAAGTGGTGGAATGATGAGATAAAAGATAATGGATTAAGAGCACAGTTGCAAGTATTCACTTTTTGGTGATGGGGAGGGAATCATCTTCAGGAAACATATTTCAAGTGGAAATGAAGATATAAAAGACTGACAGAGACTTCCCTATTGCAAGAACTAACTCCAAACAACATGCATTATTTTATAACATCATTCAGTGAGAGGTATTAATTTTGCTAATGTCTACTTGAAATCCCATTGGGCAGAAGAAGGAAACCAGTAATTTTAACAATTTCAGGTGAGAAAACTAAGGCCTCCAAAGTTTTGATCTTTATTATGGCTTCACAGTATTTTCACAGATCACACCATAACTTTTAATTGTTCCTCTGAAGTTTAACGAGAAATGGGAGGCATGGCTTCTGGATTCAGATGAGCCCGTTTGGTGTAGTGGTTAAGTGTGTGGACTCTAATCTGGGAGAGCCGGGTTTGATTCCCCACTCCTCCACTTGCACCTGCTGATGTGACCCAGCTGTCCTTGAAAAAGAGCAGTTTGTGTCAGAGTTCTCTCAGCCCCACCCACCTCACAGGGTGTCTGTTGTGGGGAGGGGAAGGGAAAGGAGTTTGTAAGCTGCTCTGAGACTCCAAGGGAAGGGCGGGGTATAAATCCAATCCCATCATCTCATCTCATCAGACGTGAACTACATCGGAGACCACGTGTCATCAGTGACCTATTTACTGTGCTGGATCCAACTAACTTTTCCAACTGTGAAAATGGGAGTAGCGAGGCCCTTTGCTTGCTCAAAAGGTTATGCTGGGGGGTCATAGGACATGCATGGACAAAATGCATGTCGATGGGTATCACATGGACACTCCACTTTTTGGCTTGTGGAACCCAGGTTTGTGGACATGCTCCTAGGAGTGGTCAGATCTCCCACCTGTGCTCCTGACTCTTGCACTTCCTGGCTGCTAAAAGAGACCATAGGGGGATAAGGGGGTGGTAGTAAATGCTTTCCACGTTGTGCTCTCCATGCTCAAGGAAGCAATGATTAGACATGTTGTTGTTGTTGTTGTTACTACTACTACTACTACTACTACTATTGTTGTTGTTATTATGATTATTATTATTATTTTAAAAACCTCTCTGAGGTAGGAGGACTTCTGGCCCTTCTCCATTTTTGGGCAGGGCAAGGTGCTAGAGTTGGTGGTTGCTTCCTAGCTCCGGGGGCTGTTGGAAGAGACTGATTTTCTGGACCAATTCCAACTGGGCTCCAGGTCAGGATTTTGAACAGAGACTACTCTGTTTGCCTTGACTGATGACCTTTACTGAGCCCCCCTCCTTTTGCCGTCAAGTCACAGCTGACGTTTGGTGACCCTATTGGGTTTTCAAGGCAACAGATGTTCACAGCTGGTTTTCCATTGCCTACCTCTGCAACATGACCCTGCTATTCCTTGGTGGTCTCCCTTCAAAATACTGACCAGGGCCGACCCTACTTAGCTTCCAAGATCTGATGAGATCAGGCTAGCCTAGGCTATCCTATTCAGGGCCTACTGAGCACTAGACAGGGTTATGTGACCCTGCTAATCTCTCAGGGCCCTTTGATAATATCAGCCACAGTATCCTACTGACTTGCCTTGTGCTGTTTGACAAAGCACTCACCTCAAAAGGTGGCTGCTCTGGTTAAGAGTGCTTTTGCCCAACTTTAGCTGCTACATCAGCTGTACCCACTCCTGGTTTGGTCAGATCTAGCCACAGTAATCCATGACTTGGATATATCTAGTCTGGACTGTTGCAATGCACTCTACTTGGAGCTACCCTTGAAGACTGTTTGGAAGCTGCATATAGTGCAGAATGCTGTGGCTAGATGGCTGGTCAGGGCCAGTCATATGACCCTTATACTATAGGAATTACACAGTTT